AGATGTCGTAGAGTGAGGCAGCAGAGGGAAATCCGAGCCGGAACGTCGGAGGAGGACGGGACGTGTAGAATAATCCAGAATTGGAGACAGCGAGGGTGAGATGATGATGAGGTGATCCTGAGCGAGACAAACAAGTATAAGGGAATATCCAAATCCAAATCCGAAACTACGATCCAAGGTCAATAATCCAAACACGAGTTAAACAGGTTTCAAGGTTCAAGGTAGAGTGGCTGGTGCTACCTGAACTGGTACAATCATCCGGCAAAATGAAGTGTCTCCGTCCTCCTTTTAAACCTGCGTTCCTGATTAGGGAATCGTCTGCAGCTGTAGTTCCCTCTGCTCCCCACCTGTGGAGAATGAACTCAGGTTCTGGTGAGAGGAGATGATGGAACTCACCTCTGCTCAGGGACATGACACTTATAAGTTTAAAAGTTCATATTTAATTTAATTTTACTTTTCTTTTATTTTTGCCAAAAGCAAAAGAATAAAAAAACTGAATGGACCAAAATGGCTGTCATCATTTAATTAAAGTCTTTCAACTTGCTGCCCAAAATCGCTCCAGCTGAAAATGAGTTGCTTTGTGAATAGATTCAGGTCAGTGAGGACCTTATGCATAATCCAAAACTTGTTTTCTCCTTAGGTGGCTTACACTGTAGTTTCAATACGCTATTCTTGTATAGAGGTCACACAGGTGCAGAATGATTCATGCGCTTTTGACTGTTAAGCACAAATGAGAGACTGCTGACAGCTGTGAATAATTTACTGTTCAATCAGCAGACGGGACGTTTCCTGGGAAAAACATCTGCAAAGGGTGATAAGAGCCAAGTAAACATGGAATTATGATTCTGAGAAATTCACATTTTTAACAGAATGAGTGCAAATTGTAAGATGGGGTGACTTAAAGGATCAGGTGTTTAAATAGTTTATCATACCTGATATTCAGTAGCGGTTTTAGGCACGGGCCGACAGGGCAGTTGCCCGGGGCGGCATTTTTTCATGACACAAAGGGGAGCACGAGCGCTGAGTAAAAAATAAAAAAGAAAGAAATCTGCACCACACCGAGGGTTTTCTATTATCGGTCATATATCACAGTGTCTGGATTGGAAACAGCAAGTGTGCGCCCCCCTGCAGCTGCAGGCGCTCCTGCTGACTGAGAGGGTTCAGGTGCTCCGTGTGTGTAAGAAGAAGAGGAAGGGGAGGGGTGCGGCGGGGGAATTCACCTCTGGGTCTTTCCCAAATGAAATGAGCGGGCAGGGGCTGAATCAACTGTATTAACATGGCTAAAGTCAATCACATATTGATGTTCTTCCATTTAACGCACATTTCATTCATAATATCATAAACACAGGCCTATCATTGTTTCAGGTTTTTCTGAATTGTGTGAAATGGCCAAATAAAAAAAAGGAAAAACAAAACGATTTTGTGGTCAACTCCCCCATCAAGGTCAAATTGTTTAGTCCTGACTAAAGGAAACTTATTGAGTCAAGAGCCAAACAGAAGAGATTAACATAAAAAGGCTAAAACCACCAGGTGCCCGATTCAGGAAAAAAAAAAAAAAAAAAGAGGAGAAAGATAAAGGTTTGTACGCTCTCATGATTTTGATTTTTTTGAACCAGTTAACTGGGATTTTAACGGTTAAATTCGGTCAACTAATTGCTAACAGAGCTAATAGGGCTGAAATATTGAAACGAATATTCAAATGGTTCGAAAAATTCCTTGAATCGTTTTTTACTGATTCAAACTAGGATTTGTTAAATGCTCGCTGCAGCCTGTGGCCTGCCTGAACAACAACAAACACATGTTGATCATGTTCACATGATAATAAATAAAACAACTCTACAAGCAGAAGAAAACTCCCCAGTCACCATTAACTATCCTGTTTATTTATTGCAGATGGCTGCACTGATTATTTTTTACATGGTTTGTTCTGTAAAAGTTGGCATTTTTGTTAGTCTACATTTTTTTTATGTCAGTTTAAATTACAATTTCAGAGGCAATTCTAAAATATTATGGATCATGATAAAGATCTATTGGAGATCTACCTCAACTTTTGGACTGCTCTGCCAGTCACTGTGGCTGAAGCTGAGAGGAGCTTTTCAAAACTTGATCAAGTCATACCTGAGGTCAACTATGTTTCAGGGGCGGCTCACTAACCTGGCCAGACCCGGCGTCAGAGGACGTTTTTCGGGGGGGGGGGGGGGGGGGGGGGGGGGCAGTAAACCGTGTTTTTAATCAACCCCTTTGCATGTTTATAATCTGTCTGGTGGACGTTACATACATATACTTCTGGGTAAAATCGTCCGTTTGCGTCACCAACTTGTTCTACATAAATAACTGAAAAGCTAAGATTCTTCATTGTTTAATTCCGATTATGTATGCCAATTAAAGATGCAATCAAAACTTAAGAGAAAGTAACCAATTTTACTGAACCTCTTAGAAAAATACTTGTAACTCACCGTTCTTAGCTGCACCTGCGCACCACAGAGTCACCATCTCAAAACAATCCTTACGTCCAGTTAATGTTCTCCAATAAAGTACTTAGTCCACAAGTCTTTGTCCAAATCCTGCCCTGCAGCTTGATACCTTAGTAAATTCTTCTTTTTGCACGTATTTCTCATAATGTTTACATCACAATTACTAGTTAGCGTCAGGTTAGCATGCTACTTCTTGGCTGCGTGCTTCTTCTTCTTGGTAAACTGTGACTTGGTGTGTTACTGCTACAAGCTGGTAAGAAGTGTAAACTAGGTCTTCTAAACAAGATTTAGAAAATCTAGAGTGTTTTCTTTCCAAAAAGAGAACAGACAACCCTGTATTTAAGATGGTTCAAAAACTGTTTCAACTTTAATATGCGTTTTAAAACATTTGAATCAAAAGTACAGCAGACACCCCTGAGACTGTGCTGGAGGCACGGAGAGAGGAGGAACAGAAGCGCTTGTAGCTGCAACTTCTGGCTGCACTGGCCTTTTTGATGATGCGTCATCCCTGCTTGTGCTAGCATTGTTTTTCTGTTTGCTAATCCAAGCACTGATATCCATTTTAACAAGCTACTGTACCAAAGCGTCTTCTTCTACTGCATCTAAAACTGTCGATTAGTAACCTAGAGCGCCCTCTGTTGATCGTCTTGAGCCAATACATTTGCATGAGGTGTTGTAATCTGTCCTGGGCGGGCCAGATCGGCAGATGGGCGGGCCGGGCCCGCCCAGGCCCGGCCTTAATGCCGGGCCTGAACCTGGCTCTGATTAGTATCAATCACTCAGTAAAGGAGCAGATTTCATATGATGACATTATTGATGATGGCAGTTGAAAAAGGCCAAGTTGCCGGCCCAGATGATGGTGCAGTTTTACACGGCCATCATTGAGTCCTTCCTCACCTCCTCCATCACTGTGTGGTACGCTGGAGCCACAGTTAGGGACAAAAATAGACTGCAGCGCATTGTGCGCTCCGCTGAGAAGGTGATTGGCTGCAGCCTTCCATCTCTCCAGGACCTGTACGTCTCCAGAACTCGGGGGCGTGCAGGCCGGATAGCAGCTGACCCTTCTCACCCGGGTCACAGACTTTTCGAGCCGCTTCCCTCAGGCTGGAGGTTACAGTCCATCCAGACCAGAACCTCCCGCCATAAGAACAGCTTCTTTCCATCTGCCGTTAGACTTGTGAACAGCTTATAAATACACAACCATGTTCGTATGCTGTACTTGACACAGCGTCACGTTATCGGCCATATTACCATTACCTGCCTTTTTTTATAGCTGAATGTTTTATGCTAGTTTTATTATGTTTTATTCTACTTATCCTATTTTTGAAATTTATTATTCATGTTATATGTAGCACATTAGTACCGAAGCAAGTTCCTAGTTTGTGAACTGCTTGTTCACTGACAATGGCAATAAACCTATTCTGATTCTGATTCTGATTCTGATGACTTTGCATCCAGGTTAGGTTTTATTTTTAGTTTGTGTTTTCTGTTCTAAGTGCAATGCTGTAGTGATTATCTTTAGTTTGTTATGTGTGAAATATGTTTGCTATTTAGAATATTTATTATATATTATGTTCATATATTCTCAATATTTAATTATTGTTTGTTTTATTTGATTCTATATATTTTGATACAGTATATAATGCATATTGCTGTACATTCTGACAACTTCGTAGTAATTAATGTAAATATGTGCAACTTAGAAAAAAGAATGTTCAATAGTCGTTCTGATAAAACATGCCTGTTTGTAGAAAACATGCGTGTGTGCGTGCAGGTGGTGGTGGTGGTGGGGGGGCTCAAAGGGGGCCTCGCCCGGGGAGGGCCATGTAGAATTCCATGTAGAACCGCCACTGCTGATATTTGATGGGTCAGAGAGACAGGTGTGAAGAAAAGTAAAATTCAACATTTATAAATCTAACATTTGTTCATATTTAAGAGTTGTCTTCATTTAAGCTCAAAAATGTGAACTGCAGTTAAACGTTCAATACTTTATTAAACTGAGGTTTTTGGGAGATTTACAGCAACTGAAGCAGGAGCACAAAACATGCTCGCCGAAAGCCGCGAAGGCAAACAGAAAAAAAGCTGCCTTACTTTTGAAATCTGATTAAATTTATTTTCTCTCTTGACTTTGTGACTCGGGAGGAAATGAAAAAAGTTTTCTCGTGGTAGAAAAAACTTTTTTTTTTCTTTTACCATGAAAAGAAAACCCTCTCGAAGGATTTTTCACCCTTCTAAAATGATCTATATTTTTAGTTGTTGAGCCCAGAAAGGCTCATAAAAATAGAAAATAAAAACCACATTTGCTTCAAATATGTTTTATTTTTGCAGTCCTGTCATAAAGACAGAGTTTTTTTAATACAACTTTATTACCTTTTTACTTGAGTGTTAGTGGAACGGGGATCACTAGGATCACCGGAAAGTGATTTGAATTTAGATTATCTTCTTGGTTTCCCTCTGGCTGCATGAGCAAACTCATATCATTGGTCCTCAGAATAAACTCAACACTGCTTTTTTCTGTTTACACAGGAACCTTGGAAAGTCGGGGCTCAGAGTATCGTGTTTGGGCCTGGGTGAGTAAACTCATCTTTACATGTAAAGTAATCTCATTCTAACCCTATTTACTGTAAAACCACTACGTCTACTTTTTATTTATCTTTGCTTACTGAGCCCCTCACTCCAGTCAACCCTTCACTATCATGGACGCACACCTGATAAAACTGCCTGTTATTAATCTGCAAACAGGTGTGGCTGCCATGTGGCTCTACCCTCTAACACAAAGTTAGTCAAAGCCCCCCCCCCCCCCCCCCCCCCCCCCCCCACACACACACACACGCACACACGCACACGCACACACACACACACACACACACACACACACACACACACACACACACACACACACACACCCATGCAAGCAACAAGAAAAGGAGCCCTCATGCATAGTGAGTTCTTAGAATAATAAAAGGAGGAGTTTATGGAGCTGAACCATTGTTTTACCAAATTATTTCTGGATTATGATGCTCTAACTGATTAGCAGAGATAAAGCGAAGATTATTGGATAAAATTTATTTCTACAGATGAACACTGCGGCACTGTTGCCACTTTAAACATTATGGGGCAAAACTACATTAAAGGTCTGTTTTCAAAAAGCCGAGCGACATAGTTCCTCCACAGTGTCCTGGGTGTTCCCTTGGGTCTTCTCCTGGTTAGACGTGCCCCGAATACCAGGGAGGCGTCCAGGAGGCATCCAGACCAGATGCCCGAGCCATCTCAACTGGCTCCTCTTGATGTGGAAAAGCAGCGGATCTACTCCGAGCCTCTCCCGGATGACCGAGCTTCTCACCCTATCTCTAAGCGAGAGCCAGACACCCTGCGGTGAACAAGACCCTGAGATACTTAACCTCCTCCAATTGAGGCAATACCTCATCCCTGACCCGGAGAAGGCATTCTACCCTTTTCCAACTCAAGACCATGGTCTCGGATTTAGAGCAGCTGATTCTCAGCCCAGCTGCTTCACACATGGCTGTGAACTGCTCCAGCGAAAAGTGAAGATCACAATCTGATGAAGCCCACAGAACCACATCATCTGCAAAAAGCACCAAAAGATGAAGTTCTAAGCTGATGTGATGTGATTCGAGAGGTGCATTTGAACGAAAAGAGCTGTGTGTGTGTGTGTGCGCGCGTGCGTGCGTGTGTGTGTGTGTGTGTGTGTGTGTGTGTGTGTGTGTGTTAGGTTAAACAATGTGAAGCTTCAGACAGTTCTGGTCTGATTCTGACCTCTCTGAGCTCTGATGCCACAGGTGGGAATGACTCAAACGGGCAGAGATGCTCGGTGCAGAAAAGGTCGTCATAATGCCAGCAGCCAGTTGCATGCTGTGCCTTAGGGAGACATGACTCTAGCAGGGCGGGGTGCATGTGTGAGAGCAGAGATGCTAAATACTGATTCACTTAAAGAGGGACTGCACACCATCAGAAAATGTAACTTCACCCCAGTCAAGATTTAAAAAATGCTATGAAAGTGGGCGTTGCCATTAGGCACAGAGTGACATGGCCAAGTGTGGGGAATTTCCATTCTGGGAGGGAGGGGAGTGGGAGGAGACTGTACCGATGACGTGAAATTGTACCAGCCCCAGTCAATCACAAGTTTAAAAAGCAGTAGCTGCAGTTCAGCCACAGGGGGCAGCACTAAGACATTTTTAGACCTGGATTCAAGATTTAATCAAGTTTACACAAACATGTCAAAACATGCACAGAAACAGAACGATTGCATTTTTAAAGACCCAATTATACAGTTTACTCATTTGCTGCCAGCGTTTTTCACTGTTTTTACTGTTTTTTAAGAGTCACAGAACGTTGCGCTCTAGGATGATGTCGACGCCAAAACAACCAAAACAAAGCAGAGACTCACCTCTTACATCAGGAAGAATCCGCGCATTTTGAGCGTTATTTGTTCTTTCATAATTCGTTGTTGAATTGTGATCGGCATAAGCTTTTCAGGTTTGCTCCTCACTTTTTTTTACAGCAGCGGCCCAAAACGATGTCCTAACACATGGATTTTTCTGCTTCCTGATCACATGACGTGTGACGTATGCAGATGAAGATCGGCTTTAGAGCTGAGATGTTTGTTCTCGTGGTGCGGGGGCTCGTTCTGATGCCCACACAGTAAAAACATGCAAATGACGACTTAAGTTGTCATTGGTAGTGAATGAGTTAATTAGCAAAAAAAAAAAGTTATTTTGGGGTTTAGTTACTCAGGAATCATGTCCACATTAATCAGAATCGTGAGTGTTCCAGCTCTGCATAATGCTCTCCGCTGGTGCTTTTGTTGCATAAATCTGCAACCAGTGACTGAAAATAAGATGTATTTAATAGTTTCAACATATGATAGGTTTTTTGGTGAAACTAGATGAAACACAAGAGCCTAGACTACAGCAGGCAGAGTGACAAATATTAGTCGTCTTTGAAAATGTGACGACAAGGGATCCTAAGCAAATGGCAGGAGAGAAGACGTGTGATTAAACATGGAAGAACTTCACCAGCACACACACACACACACACACACACACACACACACACACACACACACACACACACACACACACACACACACACACACACACACACACACACACAGAGTCATCCAGTCGTGTTAAATCATGACTCAGCAGTCTGTTTCTATTTGGCACCACTTGTGTGAAATGACAACCAGGGGATGGAAGTGTCGCTTGAGTTGCACATTTCAAAGCGAGTAGCTGCGACTGCGTCACAATGCTCGGAGAGAAGTACTCAGCAGATTCATTTACATGAAGCGGTTTTCTCCAAGGCAGTCTCCTCTTATTGCTCTTCAGGATTCTCTCTTTCGTCATTTAAAATAAGCTTCATGCAGAAAGCAGCTATTAATCCTGAGCCTCAGACATTTCCTCTGTCTTGCAATTAATCAGCATCAGGCAATATGTCACACTGCTATTCATGGAAACATGTTGTTTTAACTTTCAGGTTTCTGACTGAGATCATTGATTGAAATTATAAAATGTCAGAATGATGCTGAGATTCGATGTCTAGAATAATGAAATTAAAGTTCTCAGCAAGTTTGACTCCTAATTAGGTAATTTCTACCTTTAATGCTATGAAAACACACACACACACACACACACACACACACACACACACACACACACACTACAGAGCATGATACAAGGCTGGGAAAGTAAAAATGTAATTTTATAAATATATTAAAGCAGGTGCAGCAAGGCTGTAAGTATAAATGATGTTCAGAGCTGAATAGTTTGCATTAAAATGGATTAATTATCAAAAATTTGAAATTAGCTTCAAGGCTTTATTTCCACAGAATACTCGCTGTGCAACATTGTTAAATATTTATGATGAGTTGCAAACCCAAAATCACAACAACACGAAACTCGCTCATTTTTTTTGCCTCTGAAGCATTTATTTCAAAGAGAGAAAATCTGCACGGAAACTAAAGAAATAAACTATCATCATTGTCAAAACTTCTAGAGTGGAAAAGGAAAAGGACCAGATGGAATCACAGAGCTCTGAGGTCATGAGATCAGTTACTTAATAGAAATAGAAACATTTAAAAGACATGATTGCAAGTATCGTCGAAACAAAAACACGTCTTTAATATGAAAATATAGTTAATAAAACCAAGTGCTAAATTTTCGTCACAGTTTCAGGCTTTGGCATCCTGTCCATTTTTTTAAATTCTATTTCGCACAAATGGTCTATTTCCTTGTTGCTAAACTGCAGGGAATATCTACAAGAAAGTTCTACAGAAAGTAGCAAAGGGCCCTCACAAATGTTGCTAGGTTTGATGCTAGGCGCTTTTTCGAAAAAGAGGGGTCGAAAAGTCGGAACAGCGACAAAGTCGCTGTGTTAGCAACACTCTCTCGCTCTGCTGTTAAGTTACAGATAGCAAATGCTACGAGCTATGTCTGAGTGTAAACCATTGACATATAATATTGGACAATGGGTTTCCATAAGCTCCAATTACAAGTTTTTGAGCAAAAATGGGAGGTGTCACAGGGTCCGTCAAGCCCAGACAATTCCACAAAAGGGAAGAGAGGTGGAGCTGAGGGTGTGGCTGTAAGGCTGGGATCAACTGACGACACCTGGTCGAACTAGCCACAAGCTAACCTGAAGCTAACCCAAAGCTAACGCGGAGGTGGGAGCTAAGCTAACGGAGGTAGCAACCTAGCTACAACCGGAGTTAACTGTGCACAACACCAGAGCTTCTGAGTCAGAGATACGCCGGGCTGACCGCTGGGTAAAACCGGGTGGAACACAGAGGTCTCCCGAGAGCTTCACAAGTTGGCAGCCCACGCAGCAGACAAGCACCGCTGCGATCTGACGCTGGGGACACACCGGCCGCGGAAGCACCGCGAAAATGGGGCCGCCTTCATTCGGCGCCCTTGTTAAGCTATTCTATAGACCACATGGGCCGCCGAAGCGCCGCGAATCGCCTCGCGCCGGCGCCCCAGCCCGCGCCGTGCAGCGATCATTTCGGCGTCGGCTCTATTTTTTTCGCGAGCCGCGGGTGAATCGCGTCAATTCTGGCAGGAAGTCAAACCTAGACATAAGAGGCAGGCCGGTAAAGTTAACAAAATAAAGCATTTCAAAATAAAATTCCGCAATAGTCAAATGTGTTCGTAATCAGACACTGCAGAAAAACCACACGAACACACACACACATCGAACTTGTGTGCGTGTGTGACCACGTGAAGGGGTGTGTGGTTTTGGGTGTCTTTTCACCGGAGCAAACAGGACAGAGAGGTAGAAAGTCTGAGGCAAGCAGTTAAGATGGATGACTTTAAATTAATTATGGAAGTTGAGAAACACAAGGAGCTGTACGACCCCCGAAAAACATGATTATTTACGTTACGTACCCATTTCGGAAGAAACTGCTAGGATACCGCTGCAGAATTGGAGCGGGTTCCAAGAGATTCAACTGGCAGAAACAACTCATACCATAGGTTCACACACACACACACACACACACACACACACACACACACACACACACACACACACACACACACACACACACGCACGC